ATTGAAAAAGAGTACTATCGCAATGATAGCCACTCTAGTGGCGCGTTTCATAACCTCAACATTCCCTTTCACAAAGCACCGTGATACTCGAGACAATTGATGTATTCACCTGGATTGAAAACTTGGAAAGGAAGAAGATTAAGGGGAGGGGAGAAAAGGGCACAATCGCTGGGCACCTGCTTTAATAGGAATTCGTTTGGATCTACTCAGATTATCCATACGATATCCCATTGGGTACCCATTCCCAGATATCTACGAGACCCTTGGTAGTCGTAGCTCATGGATAATCTCAAATGATTTTTTTCAGAGACGCGTAAGGTTACCCTGAGCCGCAACTTGTAAGAGTTATGGAACCTACTTACCGCACCCCTTTCATTTTTTGATCCTTTTATCATAAAATTAATAATTATTCAATACCATATTATTTATTAATAGAAATTTGATATTTTATTAATAAACAATAGCTAATCCTTATACTTGAATTATATCCTCTAATTTATATACTAATCTCTCAATATATGATCTAAAATCCATTAGATCTATTCTCTTCCAAAGTATTAATAACTTACATCTTAATTCTTAAATAATAATAAATACAAAGAATAGTTTTTTCAATTCTTCTTTCATCCAATACTATACTTTCTCGATTGGATTGAAATCTAGAAAAAAGGGAGGCCAATTAAAACCTTATACACTATACTCTAATTGAGTTAATTGAGTATACCCGAAATAAACCTTCAATTATTTTCTATAAAAATAAAAGAGGGATTTAGTTTATCAAATAGTAAGAAAACTATTGTTTTTATTATAAAATAATATAATAATATATCTTTTTGAATATATATATAATAAAGTTCTATATTAGTATCGAATCACATGATCAAAAACATGTGATCGTCACTTATAAGCTTCTGAAAGCAATTATATGAAAACGATTATATTTAGCTTTCGAAAACAATTATTATTAGTTTCCGAAAACAATTATTAATAAAGAATATGAAAAGGAGCTTTATTTTAAAGGAATAGCCGGATTAGGAAGAGATTTATAAGAGATTAACGAAAGCGGAAAACTAGATTGAATTGGAAAAAGTATAAAATTGTCACGGGACCACCTCTGGGAGCATTCAGAAGCTTTACCGCTATGCCACAAAAGCATAAAAGACTAGGAGGTAGAACTAGAAGTTCTACCTTGCTCTCACATATATAGCAGGACAGGACAGGATAGGACAGGATAGGAAGGGCTAGTGTCACTTCGTGACAAAAATAAGAGCTTTTTTCCTCTTAATATAGAATAAGAAATTCGATATTAATATATAGATTTATAAATATCACGTGTTTTTATTGCTTTTTAGTTGTTAAACTGAGCTAGCTTTCCATAATAGACTAATATTAGTCTATTCCCTCTTATATTCTATTTATACTAAATACTCATATACTAGCTCATGACCTACGAAAAAAACAATAGGCTCAAACATTTGATTATAATATACTGAACTAATAATACCTTTGTATTTGATTCTTTTTCTAGAAAAACTAATGGAAATTTATAATCCTAGTCGATTACATTCTAGATTATTACTGATACCCTTTCTAATCGATATACTGATTTGATATAAAAAGAACATCTCTTTTCCTTTATTTTTCTAGTAATTCAAATCCTTCCATTTTTTTCTATCTCAAAAAAGTTTTTATTTGATTAATGTGGTTTATCACTGAATGGGCCATATCACCGAATGGGCTACTTTCACCTCAATTCGCACTCTTCATATTCAACACACGTTTTATCAACCATTTATTATGGAATCTATAAATAAAGAAGTACATTTACTTTTAGCTATCGAAGCTTTTCAAAAAGATAAAAAATTAAGTATTCGAAAGATTGCTAAGCTATATAATATACCTTATACAATAATCAATCATAGAATAAACGGTTTAACTCTATATACAAAGATTCAAGCGAATTATTATAAAATTATAAAATTAGAAGAGAATATGATTATTAAATATATATTTGATATAGATTCAAGAGGATTTTTATTTAATATCAAGAATATAGAAAATATAACAAATTATATTCTTGAATCGAAGAGTTCGAAATATATTGGAAAGCTCTAGACATATCGATTTGTATAATGTCGAATCGAATTAAAGATATGTTTTAATTGTATTTATAATTTCCAAAGAGCTCTCTGCAAAGATCCTAAGCTTATTGAAGATTGGTTTCGAGTGGTTGCAAATATAAAAGCGAAATATGATATTTTGGATGGCGATTTCTATAATTTCGATGAAACAGACTTTATGATAAGAATTATATCTATAGTAATAATTGTTACTAGTACCAAAAGATGCGGCAAAAATAAATCAATATAGCTAGATAATCAAGAATAAGCTATAGCAATAATATATGGAAATAGAGAGGATAAAACTATTCCCCCATTTCTAGTAGTTCAGGGACAAGTTCACCTCTCCAATTGGTATACCGAAATTGATTTTCTTGCGGATTGGGCTATTAAACCTATATCTAATGAATAGACAAATAATGAGATAGGTTTAGAATGATTGAAATACTTCGATAAGTATATTAAGAATTGAAGAAAGGGCAGATATCGAATATTGATATTAAACAAGCATGAAAGCCATAGAACAAGAGCTTTTCAGGTATATTGCAAAGAGAATGATATTATATACTTGAATCTATTACTATATTCAAGTTATTTAACTCAATCACTTGATATAGATTGTTTTAGGAATCTGAAATGTTTATATAGTAATCAAATTAATAAGTTTATTAAGGTATATATCAATCATATTTCGAAGGTTGAATTCTTTATAGCTTTTAAAGCTATATATAAAGAATCAATCACTTCTCAGAATATGAAATTAGGATTCAGAGGAATAGATTTAATACCCTTTGATTCTGATACTGTACTTTTAAAATTAGATATTCGAATTTGTACACCTACCCCCCCCTCTTTCGATCTAGATTAATGGATTTCTCAAACCCCTTATAATCCAACTGAAGCTTTTTTTTAATCAACTTTAATGAAATTTTGAATAACTCGATATTAATTAAATTCTTCTATACCTATATTCGAGATTGTATTAATTTTAGCTAAAGATACAGAGAGATTAACTTATAAGAATACATTTTTGAGTATAGAGATTTGTATATTTCAAAAAGCAAATAAGGTATTAAGTAAATATCGATATATGAAAAAAACCCAATTGTATTAAGGAGGAGTACTTATTGAACAAAAGGCTTTTGATATATTATCTCAATAAGAGGTTGATATTCAGATTCAATACAATGAGTATTAAAAAGAGAGGAATTCTAATAGGAAAGTACTTTTTATTCAGTATTATAGTAAATACAGAAAGACAAATGATAATATAAGAATCTATCAAAATAATATAATAGATCCTAGATTATTAGATTCTTAATAGTTTTAATTAATTGATTCAATCGTTGTTGAATAATATAGGTTTGAAGATGTGAATTGAGGTGAAAGTGGCCCACTCGGTGATATGGCTCACTCGGTGATAAACCACGTTATATAACCTTTCTCCAATTTCTTTCCCCTAACCTAGCAACAGTAATATTACTAGTTCCTCACTATCAATAGATATACACAAAATCTAATCTCTTTTTTGCTTGTTATCTTGAAATAAAGATTTAGAATATACTATATAACATTTATAGCCATACTTGTATAATTCCCAACAAATTATATACATTGAAGCTTTCACCCCTAGTACATTCCGAACCTACTCAAAAATCATTCTTCTTCTACCCCAATCTTTATTTAAATACTTTATAATTCATCAAATCTCTTTAGCTATCATCATAAAAGATTAATATACCTTCCCTTTGCATATAATCCTATAAGATTTAGATTTAATTATATCTCTTACCGTACTTCGAAATACACCTAAATTTTTCTCGATTCAAGTTTAGGATTTTCTATTATCACATATCTGAAACACTTTAACTCAACAAGGAGTACCCCAATTTTAATGAAATTTATAGAAATCATTATTGTTGTTAAATTGAACTGATATTTTGAAACTGATTTTAAAAAATAATGATTTTTGGGTTTTTCATCAAATATTTATAATAAGGTATTGAAAATAAAGTGACTGGAAAGAGCTCGCTTAAATGTGCGGTAAGAAGGTTCCAGAACTCTTACAACGATTTAACCCCCTCCCCATCAGTGCGACGACATTTCCCCAGGAAGTGAGTGCTTCTTGATGGCAAAAGACGCATGTTATCAGCATCTGACATTCACAAGTATGGGTGATAAAGCCGACCCGTTAGACGGAGAGAATTCCGAATTGAGAAATGGCTACTCCGTAGATAAATAGATCAATGTGGTAATTGGAAGTGGCTTCCAGTCGCATCTCGAGAGATTGTGATATTTTCACCGGTGGATCTTCGGGTTTAAGATTGGCAGCGGCACCAAGTCCATTTTCCCCGTAATAAATTTGGTGATCGCTCAATGGATTGCGTGGACTTTTGATAACTCGGTGCCGAGATGTTATCGCAATTGACTTTTCTACTTGTATACACCGTTGAAATACTATATGATGTAAATGTATACAGTAAATTCATTCTATTCACAATGTATCGCTTGAGGGGGGATTTCATGTCTACAATCGCTCGCTACCGGGTTTGTCGAATTCAAGATACCCTGAAAATTGGGCGCGCACTGATTGTCGTGATAGGACCATTTGCGCCACGATATATACACATTGTATACATCTAATCACCCACACACGTGTGCTCTATTCTCTTCAAATTCCATATCAGTAATTGTGAATTACTTCTTTCATATCACCATAATTCAAATTTCCAGTCTTGGCCAATCTTGGCCAGTCTTGGGAACAATTCAGCAAGACGATTTTTCATTCTCAGAATACATCATAATTATACCTCCACTTTCTACGAAACGCTTATGGCGTAATTCTGGTCAATGCTAGCTAGCTATTGCAACGACATCATATCAAAAAGCTTTGATGATATCTGCAGCCTTTTCCGCCACAGCATACACCAAGGATTGGATGTTCCCACGTGGAATCAGTGGGAAAATACTTGCATCAACCACGCGTAAATTACTCGTACCGTGAACGATCAGCTTATCATTTACAACACCCCCCTTTTCCTTTGGTAGCATTGCAGCGGTACCACAAGTGTGATAAGCAGTCACGGCAGTGTCAAGGACGTACTTCTTGGCTCCCTCAAGAGTATGGATATGGAAGGAGTCTGGGTGGTTTCGCTTCCCGTCAGGTTTGAAGAAGGCCGAGAGTTCTTTCGTTTGACGAAGTGTCTCGAGGGTCTGTATATGACGCGCGAAGATCTCGAGATCAGCAGGATGCAATAGGAATCGTGGATCAATGTCAGGTAGATCATCAACATTTGATGAGGAGATGTGAGTAGATCCTCGAGAGAACGGGTGACTTTGGCAACAGCCAAGACTAGCAAAATTTTCTGGTTGTAGATCTGACCCTACAAAACTCTTTCCCCCCTCATGTAGATTCGTTTGAGCGAGAAATATTAACCAAGCCGCCGAACATTCTCCTGGACTTTCGATGATCGAACGTACAGCTTCAAAATGTTCCACATCTTGGGGCTTTGGAGGGTACTTTTGGAGTATACTCGTTAGTAGTTCCGCCTGTTTTTAGCGACCTTCCTCGTCGGAAAATTCCAGGATGGGCATGAATGCGTGAGATTGTACTCCACCAATAGTAAAGGGACCTGATTTATTCTCGGTGTACAATTTCTGAGCAAGTTCCAACGCCTGGGGCTCTTGGCGCAACAGAGGATCGCCAGTTGGTACTCCATCAACAACCTCAAAGCTAACACCCGTCATTAAATGATCCTGCATATTTTCTCCTACGCCAGAATTACTAATGACGACCGGAATGTTGTGCTTCTTGAGCAAACTTTCATTTCCTATGCCTGATAATTCAAGCAGTTTGGGTGTGTTGAACACTCCAGCGGCGAGAATAACTTCTTTGGTGGCGGTAAATTGCTTAATCTCACCGTTAGCAGATGCCAGTACACCAGTTGCAACAACGCCACTGCTTGTTTCCTCGAACAAAATCTTATGAGCTGTAGCGTCAGTAATCAAGTGAAAGTTCGGTCTCTGAAGAGCCGGTATACCATACGCAGAGCCTGCGTAGCTTCGAGTCTTGGTAGCAATATCGACCGTAGCTGCATTGCTATATGCCCCAGTCGAGTTTCCAGAGAAAGGATCTATTTAGTGTAAGTTCATGGTATTCTTGGTATGGAACAAGTTCCGCTTGCAGGCAGCCACCACGTACCTCCAGTAGTTAATTTTCCAAAGCCACGAACGCTATCGATCCAGGCCTTGCAAAGCGGATTCTGGATAACTCCAGGAAATGATACTTGAATGGGTCCAGATTTTCCGCAGTAATCTTCATTTATCCAGTCAATACCTAGATGCTCGAGAGTCTCACTGTCGGGTGGTGGTGAAAGAGTATAGAATTTCTTGTAGTATGGAGATAGAGCGGCCCAGTCCCAACCATCGTTTCCTAATTTAGCCCATGAATCGATCTCAGCTTGTGCAGGGGCGATGAAGGATTGGCAATTGATAGCGGACGAGCCTCGAAGAAGCTTCCCCTGCGGCTCGCTGATCGTTCGACCGCCTAGACCTGGCTATTCTACATCAGCTGCTTTCGATATCTCGAAACCATGGGCTCTCGGCTACTTACTTGGGGAACAGAACGGAACTGCCAATCGGCTTCGGAGCCTAGTAGCGTTGTCCAGAAAGCAGGAACCTGAACTCGAGGGTCATCATTACGGTTTACACCCGCTTCAAGAACAAGAACATGCACATCGGAATTCTCGGTCAACCGATTGGCAACGACCAAGCCGGATGTGCCACCTCCGACGACAATGTAATGAGCTTGAGTGATGGAATCTTGGAGAGAGCTCATTGTGTGTAAACATAGTTCGATCAACGGGGAGTGGGTTATGTTGGATTTGTGAGAGGTGTAGAAATTTTCTTAGTGGATGAACAAAATAGCTACTATCTATGTAGAGAGTATCAGATTTGAATTCGAATTCAGAAGCGTTTCTTGCTCTTGCACTTGCACTATATATACTGTAAATATGAATACACTCTAGTAGCATGAAGCACGAAATATTCTTCCCGGGGCAGGGAAATGGGAAATCCACACATCGCATTTTTTAGGACAGGGAATCATATTCCAGTCTGACTGCAAATCCAACGCATCTCTGTGTTATATCTTGTTGGATTGATTTGATATCTGTCGCTACCCCTTCAGCCGTACAACCGAAAGCATAGCGTGAGATTCGGGCATGTAGTTTCGTTGGGCTTTGGTGAGATATTGCCTTATAATTTACCAATACTTACTCTGCGTTCTGAAATATACTATTTATCAGTCCATCTATACCCATGAAACACGCCAACATATTACCAACAAACTCACACAATTAATCATTCCGTATACATCCCGCAAATCAAACCTCGTTCTCAGGTAATGTAAGTAATCAGAACTAAGTCAATTCCGTACCTTTGACAAATTTCTACTCACGATACGCATTCAGAATTACCCGTATACTCGGCTTGTGGGGGGTCATGTTGGGTGATGTTGTTGCTCCGCTGCAATTACTTTCATGTGATGCTCCAACTAGGATCAATGTGCACATAATCCCCCAGATACACCTTCCGCTTCTGTGGATGATTTTTGCTTGGCATGGTGGTTTTGATGACTAACTGCACGGTTTTTGGATACAGAGAAGTATACAGATGTATATTTTTCCTGGAAATGTTCTAGTATCTGAGCAGTACTTGCTGGTGTTGTGGCCTGAGATTGGCTTATTTTGTTTGCGATGTTGTGTATGGAAGGTTTGAGTAAGTAATTTTCGCCAAGTGTCGTTCCAAAAGATTGGAGGGAATGAAATTTTACAGTTATCATCTTGTAAATTACATTTATTCGCTGGAGAACGAAGATGAAGATGAGAATCAGGATGATGACGACGAAGATGTGGATGAGGATGATCCTGGATTCGGTTTTGGAGATTTTGAAGAATTGACCAATCGTGTCAGAAATGCTCGCGGAGGTTGGGTCATGATCCAATGTTCATATCGTCTGTAATGATGAATATCTTCATATGTGATATGGGTCAACGTCCAATCTCTATAATAAATCTCTTCCCAATTCTCGCGAGCCATTATATAATATTCAGATGTGCAACTGATATCTTGGTGATCTTCAATGTGTATCGAAACTCCAACTCTGAAGACTCCCGCGAGTCATTATCAGGATTGAGATCTAAAATCTACATTAGAGAGTACAGAAGTCTGGTCGTCCTTCTTTTCGAATGGTCTTGAAGGATATAGTATTCAAGAATCTTTATGAAGGCGAAGATAATTCTCAATAATCAAATATTAGTTTGATAGATATAATTGACATGCGTGCCTGTCTACACTTCAGTACAGTGTTTCGTGGCCTTGAGTATGATAGAGAGGATACATATAAAGAAGTTCATATCGATAATTTCCCCGCCCAAAAGATATCGTACTTATTACAACTCCAAATATCGAGGACGTTGGGACGACGATTCAATTTTGGAATTTCACCGTCATTTCAATCTACCCCGCATTCCATGGCACTTTTGGAGCAATCTTCATCGCCGATTTTGGTGCACTAGGGAGTCAGTGAGAGCAAAGGGAAGTGAAAGTGGGAGACAAGATCAGGGAGACAGAGAGGGGACAAGAATTAAGTTTCTTCAGAAGCTATATGTGCACCATGTCCATTTTTTGAAACTACAAGAAGCATACATTCATTCACTATTTGTTTTGATGATTGATGGCAAGTTCCAGCGAACAATGGCATTTAATCGTCGCACACACGGAGGAAAAGAGCTTGAGCCAAGTGATCGAGACAGTATTGGTCAAAAGTTCCGTCATTTTTGCTTTCGAGACTGCGACTTTCTCATTCCTTCTGAACATAATTTCAAGATGCAACCCAACAAAGAAATCTCCCAGCCAAACTATATCATCCAAACTTCCTAAGGCCCCAAGCCGTCTCACTAGGTGATGAAATCATTCACACCAAATCTAAACTTTCTTCTCCTTTCGTGCCAATCCGCTGAGCAAAGAGCTCAATCCATCCGCGCTTGAAGAAGCGCTGGCACCAGTAAGCGTACCTGTTCCACCTATCAGTGATGAGATCTCACTTTCCAAGGAAGCAAGTCCCGATGATGTACTTGTTCCACTACCCAAAGAACCCAATGATGAGATTCCACTCTCCAAGGAGCCAAGTCCTGAAGTTGTGTCCGTTCCGGTACTACCTCCAAGAAGAGAACCGAGACCCGATAAGCCGGATGCGGATGCGAGGGGGCTGCTGGATGTACCCAAGCCGAGAAGAGTGTCGAGTTGACGCTTGTGAGTGTTGGTAGGGGCACCGGAGATAAGAGGGAGGGCTGCGATGATGAAGGAAAGATGGAAATGCATGTTGGTATGTTGAGTTTTTGAGGATTGTCTATAGCGAGAAGATTGATTGATTTATGGTATATTGCGAGTTCAGATTGAGAGATTATATGTGAAGTGTGTAAACTGAACGTCAAAGTTGTATGTTCTGTTAGAGTAGGTAGCGAGTGATAGAAAAAGAATGTGAGCGATCTGATGAACAAGAAGTGAAAATGAAAAGCCGGATCATTGCGAAGCTATATACAACAGTCATATTAGAGGGGGTAGAAAAAGCAAGTACATCCCCACGTTTCTGCTTAATCTAACATTGGAATAGAGGCGGACAAGGTCTGGCATTGTTCCACTCTACTTCTCACAAGCTTTATCTTCTATATCAACATTGGACAATTTTCCACATTTCAAAAGTAATGCTCCAGAGGGAGACTACCCAATTGCTGATACCGAGGTATTTTCATCCTCGTTGTAGATATTTATGCGAGTGGAGACACGTTTCTTTTTTGTTCATTTCCTTGAAACTTGCAAAGCTGATATTGAGAACCGAGAACAGGTGATAGATAGACCACTAGTAGGCGTGTGAATTCATGGGATACTTCCAGCTTTCGAAATTTTGGACAAATTCATTCTTCGGTTGTTTCATACCAGAATCCACAATTTGATTATTCCATGTCTCATGAATATTAACTTTAACTATTCTTAAGATACAAGATCCGGTATATCAAGATATACTTGCAAGTCCATATTGCAGTATCCTGTTAGTCCGTATACCCAATGGTAGAAACTTCAACCTAGGATTTCATCCTGAGAACACATGTATGAAAGCTTCCATTGACGTCACATTGCCCGAGTGGTTCAATTACAGGTCAGGACAGAACTCAGTTTTACTGCACAGTGAACCTTGTCATCGATGCTCATGGAGCTATGTAAATAAAAACATGGTATGAAATAATTTGTTGCCTAGTATAGAATTGAAACATAAATGAAAGTTCTGTTCATCTCTCCGTCGTTACGCATTCCCTGCCCCGCACTTTCCCATCTCAGCCTCAAATCTCTAAACAGCACCAGTCAATCCAGAAAGAAGACCTGCACCCGCAGCTCCAGTTCCTGTGGCTCCGGTGGCTCCGGTGGCCCCGGCACCAATTGTGTTTACACCACCGGTCAAACCACTGATAAGTGTGTCCTACTCAGCTCATTAGTAACCATCATCGAGATGAAAAGGCAAAGAGAAGACTCACTATTCCTTGAGCTCCTCCAGCATCAGCGGTGGTAGCACCACCGGTAGCTGTCGTGGCTCCTCCTGTGAGGCCGGATAAGAGGTCACCATCACCGGTAGCGGTCGTAGCTCCTCCTGTGAGGCCGGATAAGAGGTCACCATCACCGGTCAAGGTGCCTGTTGATCCTCCTGTGAGTCCGGATAAAAGGTCACCACCACCGGTTGAGGTGCCTGTTGCTCTTCCTGTGAGACCGGATAAGAGGTCACCACCACCGGTAGCGGTCGTGGCTCCTCCTGTGAGGCCGGATAAGAGGCCACCACCACCGGTAGAAGTGCCTGTTGCTCCTCCTGTGAGTCCGGATAAGAGGCCACCACCACCGGTTGAGGAGCCTGTTACTCCTCCAAGGAGACTATCGAGCTGTCGCTTGGTCTGCAGTCTTGTTAACATGTGGTCAATGATATGAAGGGAGATGCGCATACGGGTGCGGCGAGAGCCAATGGCAAGATAGCGATGGTGAGTGAGAGACGCATTTTCAATTTGAAATGAAGGTAGTTTGATTGATTATTTGAATTTAAAAGAATGTGATATGTCGAATTTTGTTCGACAAATTTGGTTTGTGAAGATGGAAAATCGAAGAAGGTATCTTGGAATGATAGATAGAGAAGATGATTAAAAAAAAGCAAGCAAACAGATTATATCTTCATCTACTTATAGAAGCCATCGTGCGAGGTTTTCATGACACCTTTGATTTCAGGCGTCTGATAATTTGCAAATACTCCCCTCGGACCTCTCAATGTTCGGTCAGACACTATGTCGTCGATGTAAGTAGGTACACTATACTACTGAACACTGCCGTATCGATGCAATGAGGCATTTCAAGACGACGGAACTTTGCGTTGTTAGCACAAGCACGTTTTGAAGATCTGAAGGTCTGATGGTCTGGGGACGCATGTGGGGAAATCAGATGAATGAGGCTTTTTTCGTTTGAAGGGTTGTGCTCGGACACGGGATGGACCATATGAAACGTAATGGGGATTCGGAGTTTTGATACAGCCTTAATACATATTTCTTTTTTTGGCTATGCAGATATAGAGTGATGATCGATTGCAGATCAGACGATTCATGGAATTAATTTCTTAATTTGTTTTGGCACATAAAACTTCACCATGACATGACCACAACAACGAGATCCAAGCAATCAATCCTGAGTAATGAACAACATTATGAAAAAATCAAATATAGAAAAGCTTTATGCTCATCCAAACTCTAACCTGACACTTGATGTTTTGGCCTTGGCTCCTTTGGCGCATTGGACATCAAGGCTGTCATCTACCGGTATTGATTCGGTACTGAATTTGTACTGTAGTGTAGCACGTCAGAACACCATGAACTTGCGATTGATCTTGAATATTAAGATTGAATTTTGTATGGACTTAGGGTGGGCTAAGAGTATCAAAGAGTATCCCAACAGTGTTCAAATCCTCTCTCCGAGGTTTTTAGGTTCACATTGCAGGCATTTGGTATGATAATTTGGAATCAATATGATCGGTAACTCTCCACGAACATGGACAATCCATTCAAACATCGAAGAATCATATTTTATTGCCTGATCCAGATATCGGACATTTTCAAAGATAGAGATTATGCATGGAATTATATCTCCAAACCTAAGCCTTCGCCAGTAAATGGCGGTTGAGCTGTAGTCGTGCGGCTAGAAGTACCAATCCTCCCAAAAGCATCGTCATTCCGGAAAACAGCGACATTCCAAGGTAACCCCAAACATCGAGAATCTTCCCATTTATAGGTGAGCCCACAAGCCCGCTGCTAGAGTTAGCCAAGTTTGGATCTGCAGGGTAGTGAGCGGGAACTTACGCGATTGAGAGAAACGTCATGACGGAGCCCATGGCAATTCCAAATTGCGTTGGCGGTACCAGCTTTGCTGCACAAACTCCTTGAAGACTGATAATTGCCCCTGAAGTAAATCCATAAGCAAGAGAAAATATAGTGATTCCAGCTACAGAAGTAGCTTTTGTCATGCAAGTACAGACTAAGCCGGAGGAAATCGCAGCAATAACGGCAATGTTGTAACATCCAAATAGATCCGCCAATAGAACCGGAATGATGCGAACAAATACACTTGCTGCATTGACAATGCTAATTGTATAGAACGCAAAGTTACTTTCAAATCCAAGAGACAACGCCCAAGGCTCAATGTAGAAGAAAGGCGTGAAGAGGCCAAAGTAAACAAAAAAAAGTCCAACTGCGAGTAACATGAGGACATAATTCTTGACGGAAGAGAAATCTGGGTTTGCCTTGGTATGATTCGCCTTTGTAACAGGTGCTCTGACTAAAAGACATCCGATGGTCAATAGAGGAAGTTCAATGAAAGCAACGATTCGAACTGCCGATTCAAAGCCAACTTCTGTCAAAATTTTGTTCGGGCCAAATAACACCACCCAACGAAGATCCTGATGCTACAATTTCAGGTGCCAGGCCTCGATAGTTGGTGAAGTATTGAGCCGCTATGGTGAAGGCGGGAAGAAGAATAGATGCAATGCCGATACCGAGTAAAAAGCCTTGAGCGAGAAATAATTGGTAGTACTTGCAAAGAGAAGTCATGAACATAGCAAGAAGCATCACAGCACTGCCTCCACATACCAAAAATTGCATTTTTCTCAGTCGTGGTTTCGATCATGGTGAACCTAAGTTGCGTACCTTTGAGCCATATTTGTCATTTAGATATCTAGCAACAAATGTTCCACCAAACATGCAAAAAACGATAAAAGAACCAAGCCATGACATATCCGATGCAAATTTATCGGTGAGCATGTTTTTCGCATAGTACCTTCGAAAAACTCCAAAAGCGGTTATGAAACCTACTGAATAGAACATTATCGAGAATGCACCAATGGCCGCAATACATGATCGAGTATTGGCATTTGGTTATTGGCATTTGGTCAATGAAAGATATATCAAGCAGGGAAAGAGGACACCTACTTCCATTCTGAATCCTGAGGAGTACCCTCCTCTAAAACCTCACTCGTCAGTTCACTGGATGCTAGTTTTGGGTCTAAGAACACTGGTGATTTGAGCGACTTGCCATTGTCCCTGGTTGCATCACTACTTAAACGTATCGGTTGAGGCATGGTACAAGAGAAAGAATAAATGTGCAATCAACTCGTGAATGGATGTCTTGTACATGGATAGGTTATTGTGATGGTATGGAATTGATGCTATCTACTCACCTCGAGATCGAACTTACTTATAATTGAATACTCCACGAAAGATGAAGCTCTGAAAATTCATATATGATCAAGATATATCGGAGGATCTATAGCTTATGGAATTGAAGCAAAGCCACTCACTCAAGATACCTACCTAGTATGTAGGGTAGATTGTTAGAGTAGATTAAGTTTAATCATCTTGAGAATCTTCCCCCTCCTGAGATGTATCTTACAATTGGTACGGTGGGCGGGATATTCCACTGAAGCCGATAAGAATAAGAAAAGTGGACCGGACAGCCCGAGAATCCGCGGAAATTGAGGTGGTGGTCCTCGCTATGGACAACTCCGAGCTAGTATTTTGACATCATCATCGTGTGGGACAGCTTCTTCCATTTTCCCCATACTTTCAATACCACTGTCGATTAATCCATTCAACCATCGGATTTAACTTTTTTGAAATTCTTAGCTCGTTTGCATTGAGTCGGCATGAAGCGATCCTCACCAACCCATCCATTTCAGGACGGGCGTAAGGAAAAAATAGCTCGTCGACAGGACCCTGTCTCATGTCAGTTTTGTCGGACCAAGAAACTCAAGGCAAGAATGCAACTCTAATAACTATGACGAATCGCATTCTGATCTTAACAGTGTGATCGCAGCTTTCCATGCAGTAATTGCAGAGCTCGCAGACTCCCCTGCGTATCAGCTGCAGGTCAAGCAGACGTCCCAAGTTCCCAGCCGATCAATTCTTTCTCGGTAGGATCATCAAGGTTAGTGCTGCTGATTCAATGCGTTTTAGCAGTCTTATCTGATTGTTACTACGATAGTCAAGGGATTGAGGAGTTGAACGCCCGCCTAAAAAGGGTAGAGGAACTTCTAGAAAAAACATCAATGTATCGGAAGTTCAAAAGATACCGCATCTGGTATTGTTTTCCTCTTACATATACTCCGGCATTAAATCCAGGCTGACAAATGATTAGTGGTCTCAACACAAGAAACGCCTGCAGAAGATGCACAAATCACAAATACAGTCTCGTGGTTAGAATCTGATGCTTTCGAGCACCGGGGTCTCCACGAGTCAACAAACTGTGTATTTTCACTTTCCTAAAACTTACCTGCGAAACGCTAACCAGGCAGAATCTTCTCTGTTACGATGGTGAAATTACACAAACTTTTGCTGCTTCCTTTCTAGGTACGTCGGCCACTACTGTACGAACAGGTGTCGACGCACAGAGTTTACGTTCGCTTCCGTCTAGAAAGCATGCGCGAGTTCTTTTCGACTATTTTGTTGATAACATCGTCTGGATCTACCACATAATTCATATACCAACCCTCGAGTCTCATCTGAAAAGATTATATGATGATCTTGACCAGAACCTACAGCCTCAAATCGATCATGTTGCTCTTCTCTCTGCAGTCTTTGCATTGAGTGTGTATTTTCAAGGCGCCGAGCCTCTATCAGAAACTCATCGTTGGACTTTGTTGGCTCAAAAAGCACTGTGTGCTGCTAACTTTATCGGAAAGCCCACTATGGAGTCGATACAAACAGTACTCTTGATAGCACAACATCTTCTGCCTAATATTGGAGGCATTGCTACTTTCCGAGTCCTGTTTACTACGGCAATGCATTCAGCACGTTCACTTGGATTCGATTATCTTGATTCTGCCCAAAGCAAGAAGCGGAGAGTTGGGAAAGAGTTGGATTATGTTGAACTCGAGACTAAACGAAGGATCTGGTGGCATATTGTTTCTACCGATTGGCAAGTTCACTTATACCATTTTGCATGCCGTATCTAACAAGTGCAGGATCATGTCTTTCATGAGTGGTCCGCAAAGCGGCACATATATGATTCACCCACAACAGATGAAATGTGATTATCCAAGCAATGCCAATGATGTCGACATTGGCTCTCTAGGAGACTATAAGCAACCCTCATGTATGGAAACTGATATGACATACTCTACATTCAGATATCAGCTCTCGATAATTTGTCGGGAAATTGTCGACGCGATGCAAAATCTTGGCTGTGAGATACATGAGCTGCCCTACGAAACGGTGTTGAATTTTGACAGGAAGCTGATTTGCATGGTTTCTGAAATTCCTCCGGCTTTTCGTATCGATGCCAAAAGTCGAGCTCGATACAAAGATTTAGACGTAAAATACCCTTTCTTGGCAGTGCAAAGGACTGCGGGGCATTTTGGGATTCAGACCAGATTCACACGACTTCATCGACCTTATCTTGCGCGAGGTACCCATGACCCACGATTCTCTTACAGTCGAATGGTTTGCCTTCGATCTGCTCGCTCAGTAATTGAACTGGGAACAGAGCTTACTCACTGGGGCAAGAAGCAAAATTTCCAGCCAGTCAGGATGTGGACAGTTACGCATCACATTTTTGTGGCTACTGTCATATTAGTAATGGATTTCTGCTTGAACAAAGATGATCCACGGTCTGAGGAAAGAAAAGCGGAGATAATGGATGCGTTTAAAATGCTTGAGAGTTGTCAAGAAACCAGTACCATAGCGAGGAGAGGTCTTGAACAACTTCGAGATATTCTACGAAGGGGGACATCATCTACTGAAGAAGCTTTAGCCCAAGTGCAGAATCACAGAGATGCTTATCACGATGCGTCAAGCTCTATAAACTCATCCAAGCAACGAAATTCGGATTTCCGAATGCCAGAACCAATGGCTCTTTTCCCTGGCCTCAATATCAATGACCCATGTTCAAGAGTAGATTGGGAGAATGTCGACTTCGATACTATCGAGGATATCAATTTTGATACCGATTTCTCAGCTAGTGACTTCGAAGCACTTTTTCACGACGAAATGGCATCGCAATGTGTTTAATTCCCAATTCCCAATTTTACCTTGGAATGTCATCGAGCGATGAACATCGTGACAAAAATTCTCCCGAAGATGATATTTCGCTGGTTTACACTTCAATCATTTATTAAGTTTCCATATGACAACGATGTCATAATCAAAACTTCAAATTTACGAGGCATTAAACGCGCCATCCCTCGATTCCACTCGAGTCACGTGTCATGGGTCAAGTTGGCGCCTCAGCCACGGTCAGATCAGATCCTACCCGGACAACGGAAATGCATCAAAAGTGGCGTAATAAGTTGCAATCCTTTCAATTCATTCGCCGATTCTTGGTACGCTGAGGAGCGAATCTGGCCATGGCATAGCCTGAATTAGTGTTGGTTGGCACAGTTGTGACCTCCAACAGATAGAATTTGAAACACGCGAGGATTTCTCAGGGAAGCGCCAACCTACACAGCCAAATTTGAGCCTCATAATTATTACTGTAGGCGTTTTGATGTTGGGTACTCGGTCAAGGTGAATCGTGATCATCCAACAAATGCCAACATCTGAGTCTGGAATCGTTATATAATCCTATCCTAGCTACGTCCATCATCGCCACTCTTTTTTCACATACACACTTAACATTAGCAGCTTCGTTTGGCCATTCATTCTTTTATAATCTTTCATTAAACCTTTCATCTTATATATCCATCTAACTTAACCGATAAAATGCCTTCCTTTGCTGAAAACCCCTCGTCCGTAACCGTTCAAACCGCTTTTCAACTCCAGCACTTAGTTGAAGCTGGTCACAAAAACGCAGTTTGTATTGACCCAAGCACACTGAAGGTTATAAAATCCATCACCGGTTCTCAGCCTGGAAAAGATGCGACCTCACTCCGAACACCCGAGTGGGCTAATAGCAAAGAAGGCTTTCAAAAAAAGCTCTCCTCGTTCTTAGACGGAATTGCAAACAATCTGGATGTGAAAGATCTTAATCTCTCAGATGATTCAGATGATAGTGAGGAAGATCCTGATTGGCGAGAAGGTAGCGAAGGGAGCGAAGTCGAAGAGGAATACGATTCTGAGTATGATAGCGACGAATACACAGAGTCAGAGGACGATCGCAATACTTTGGATCGAATTAGTGAGGATGAAGACGAGGATGAAGATGCTCAGCCAAAGAAATGCTTGGATGCAAAGCTTGGTGAAGGTATGGCAATTCCTCTTCCTAATTTTATACTTGCGTAGAACTCGATGGCTAACCTAGATAGGTATCATTCTTCATGAAATCGTCGGCCGAAAAGTAGCTCGCTACGGAAACAAGGTTCTCAAATCAGGACGCAATCTTCAACTCTCTGAAGCAGACGCTATGCGCTACATCGCAACACATACCAGCATTCCAGTTCCTCGTGTCATAGAAGCCACTACCGATGGAAAACTCACTAGCATCACTATGGAATACATCGAAGGCGAACGCCTAGACAAAGTTTGGAACACTCTTCCAGAAGATCAAAAGAAAAGCATCGCAAGTCAGATCAATGATATGCTGTTTCAACTCCGCGGCTTGACGGGCCGATACATCGGCGGTATGAATCGTACCCCAGCTATTGATTCCCGACGCTATGACCTCGAAGGTGGACCCTTTAAGTCTGAAGCTGAATTCAATGAATTCCTCATTTCGGATGCCTATGCCCAAGTGCCCAAATGTTTTCTGAAGATGGCAGAACATTCTCTTCTAACCAATCATGCCATTATCTTTGCACATGGAGAATTGGCGCCAAGGAATATTCTTGTGAAGGAGGGATGGGTCGTGGCGGTATTAGATTGGGAGAATGCCGGCTGGTATCCTGAGTATTGGGATTTTGTGAAAAGCTTCAATGCGATGGATAGTAGATGTGGAGAGTGGTATGATTGGGTTGAGAGAGTATTCCCTGTGGGATATGAGCAGGAGTTTATGAATGATCGGTTCGTGGGAACGTTGGTCAGACATGGTCATTCTTAGGTGCATGGAAAGGTGCCAAGGCTTTTCTCTGGCACGCTTTTTTTAATGATATTGGAGTTTTCCTTGATGCATAAAACATTGTTGTAAGAAGATAGAAGGTGAAAGACGTTGGCGTTTTGGTGCAGTGGCATTTGTAGTATTTAACCAAAGTATTCATTTCGCAGTCCAATCGATAACTTTTACAATCCGATTATTATGCTTCCGCGTCATTTGATCTCAAAAATGTTTGCGTTGCTATCAATTGCGTATCTATAGCAACACCATTTGAACACCGGAAAGATTTCAATTTAATCTGCAATTCGGACACCATGATATTTCTGCTACTCCTGATACCGTAGCCCAGGACATGAACAGGACCTTAAAGAACATCGATGCCATAAGCCTCCTTCTAAAGCTTTCTCTTCTCCTTCTGCTCTTTCATTCTGCCCTCGTCGCCCCCAACCCTCACACAAAAAATGTCCTTCCACCCTCTCATTGCCATCAACCTCAACACACCAGCCAATTTCTCCTTATCCATTCCACTAATGCTCATTTCCGCCACCCCTTCATTTTTACCAGACACACTCCCCACATTCCCAATATTCACTCCCTGCCAAACAACCGCGATATCAAACTTTAATTTTCCCATCTCCTCCTCCTTTTCCCCTTTCATATCCCCAGCCCCAACCACATCCTCAGCATTATTCTCACCCTTCTCCCCACTACCCCGTCTCCGCATTGCGAGCCTACAAGACTCTCTTAATACATCCCTAACCTCGCACTCCAGATCTTGATATGAGAAATTGGGAGATAGAGGAAGGGCGGTGTAGTAGGATGTCGCATTCGAGATACTTTTTACTTTGGGAAATGAGAAATATGCCAGAGCTGTGGTCGTGGCAACTGGAAGTTGTGGATACAAGGAGTAGACTTTGAAGGTTCTGGTGAAGGCGTGGTTAGAGACACGGGTAGAAGAGAAGATTGCTGGATAATCTCTTTTGAGAGTTAAGGTGCGTGAGGGAATAGTGGGGATAGTGGGAGCGTGAGAGTATGGTTGGCTTTTAATGGTGAAGGCTCGTTTGAAAATCGGTGTTGATGGTGTTAGAATCGTAAATGGTTGTTTCATAAGTGGTCGGAGCATTTTGGAAGATTGTATTTTGGTGGATGTAATGAGCTTTGACAAAGTTCTACGGAATTTGAGAAAGATATGAATAACATGAGATCACACATGGCCAACAGAGCTCCAGGGTCATATATGTAGCTTTTGTTTTAAATGAAAATCAATCGATAAAGAAAATCGCAAATGCATCCTTACATTAAAGAGCAGATTTGCTATCGATGAAGACAACTTTAATGCCTGCTTACAATGATACAATTTGAAAGGGGGGGCCACATAGACAAGCGAGGGTAAAAGTTGAATACGATAGAAAAATTTGTAACTGAAAGAATTGTTAAAGAAACAGCTGTTAACATAAATGGGGTTTGATTCGTTTGCTGTCGATTGACGACCTATTTGTTATCCATTGAGGTCATCATACAGATTTCTTAGCCTTGTGAACCCCTCTTTGTATGAAAGACATCAGATTAGTTTGAATCAAAGGTCTTCCTCAAGAAACCTTCAGACAATTTTAGTCAAGAGGGTCGTAGACTAGCACAAACTGCCACATTTCACTTCTACACAATGGCCATCTCATTATTGAAACATCGATTTACACATTGGTAGGCTATATATTTATCTCGTCATACTACCCGTTAGCAGCTCATCAATGATAAAAACAGCCCAAGAAACCGCAAAGCCCAATAATTAGTAGCCATCACCCCGAATACTCACAAACAACATTTACTCGATCATCCCACCACGACAAAATGAACGACTCCGACAACTCCAATACTATTCCCGAAACCGTTGTGCTGGTCCATTTCCGTCTTGTCGAAAGATCTGCCCCTCTGGCTCGCAACCCAACCCCATTTTACTCCCAGCAGAATAGCTCTACGGCAATATTCGTCCTCCCCGGAAATGCGACACTCGTTGATATTACTGCTGCCGCAGTTTCCATGATTGATAATGATGAACATGGGATTGCGACACGGGCTAGAATTCCGAAGAATGGGTTTTCTTTTTCTACAGATCTGAGCGATCTATTTGTGCAGTGGGCGGATGTTCATGATCGGCTTCCACCATCATGGATTAGGAATGATGAAGAGTTGGAGGGGGCTTTGAAATGATGGGGAAGAGGGGATGGGTAGATAACTTGATCTACGAGATAAGCGTAAAGGGGACTGAGTAGATAGTCGAGGACTCGTAGCGCAAGAGGGTGACAGATCGGGGAAGAAAAAAGGATAATAGTAATGACATCGATGAAAAAAGGGTATTGTGATCATAGATCAAGGTATCGAAATGAAGAATTACAAGGTCCATTTTGTGCACCGAGGAACAGATATGCAGATCAACTTTCATTCAATAACTATCACTGCGAAATATCTCAAAGCTTTGGACATGGTTCCAAGCAGCAACCGATCAATGCACAAAGGCACAATTGAATCGGACAATCAAAATCAGATTGCCAGAAACCTAGAAACTCAGAAACCCCAATCCTTCACCCATCTTCCAATCATTTCGTCACTTATTGGAGCCAAATCTCTAAATGAAGGACTCGCAACCTGCGCATTCTCAGTAATCATAACCAATCTTTCCTCATTAGCTACCCATTCAAAAAATCCCAAAAGTTTAAGCGCTGGGAATTTCTCTAGATCATCACTTGACGTAGCGTCATGTTTCTTAAGCTCAATGAGCCAATTCTGCAATGAAACTTCTTTGGTCACACCGAGTATTTGCTTGGCCCCAAGAACAAGGTCACTCCACTTGACGAACTTCGGATTGGTGAGATTGAAAGTTGTCAGGCCTTCTCTTGTATCACTTCCATGCATCAGCTCAACGATAATTTGCGATAAACTATCAGCCGGAATCCATTGAATAAGATTTTGAGCCCCAAGATCACTTGGTACCAATCCCAGTGCTTTGGAAGTTTGCAGTAAAATTGGGAACCAATCCCGAGCATTCCACTGCTTCTTTCCATCACCAGCCGGGCCACCAATTTGTCCACATCTCAACACATCAACCGAGATACCGTGTATTTCTGCAGCATTGTTTAGAATATTCTCTGCTATGAATTTGGATTGCCCATAGCCTAACATTGGCAAGTTGCTGTCAGTGAATATGTGTTCTGATACTGGTGTCTTGGGTCGGAATGATGGCCAACTCGCCAATGAGCCGAGCGAACTCATGAATTGGATTGTCACTTTGCGTGGAGACAATAAAGACCAGTCGATAAAATTGCGAACGCCGGCAATGTGAACTTTTTCAAAAGACTCGATGGGTAGATTGAAGTCGACTGACCAAGCATTGTGTAGGATCACATCAATAGTTTCAAGAAAGGTTTGATAAATGGCAGGCTCTAGACCAAATCTTGGCTCACCAAAGGATGTTTTGACGAATTGAACCTTTTGAGCTCCGTCCAAGTCACCGAATTCGGCAATAAAGTCTTTTTCGGCTTCGGAGCGATTAAAGCATATTATTTTAGTGACTTTAGAATCTGCGATCAAAGCTTTGAGAAAATAGTACCCCAAGTAGCCAGTGAATCCAGTAAGGATTACTTGAAGACCATCGCCATGAGACTTGATGATGGTTTTTGCTTTTTTGACTGGAAAATTGCTGGAATAAGTCTGGATGAGGTCCCCCAAGTAGTTGTTTGCTGGTATAAGAGTCTGAGATATTTCCTCCACGCGACCGAGCACTTTTGAGACGTCTTTAGGTTGGTATTCCATGTTGAAAATCGCTATACAAAGCCTTTTTGTTGTGAAATTCTTGTAGATGAATCTGATTGTGAGGTTTGAGAGTTGTCCTTGGGAACAAGAACCAGGGAACTTTATTGAATAGTACTAGAAATCTATCTAGGCCGAGGTAGGATAAGCTGTCATCTGCAGGTAATATTTGGTTGGTTCCAACTGTTATGGCTCTGGGTGAATAGAAAAGCTGTATCATACGACCAACAATTTGTGAATTCGCAAAAGGGTTCGAGCGGCATTTTTGTCATCGAAGTCCCTCAAGAATTCTACTCAAAGCATGTAATAATTCTCATATCTTTCAATAATATCCTCGAGAAGTTTAATAATCAGACCTCCCACATCAAGGTTGAATACCATCCAACTCAGGATCGCTTATTCCTAGCTGCACTGTTTCAATTGGTTCATGAATTTGCTCCAACCTTGCTTCAGAAGCAAGCAAATGGGCAGAAATTACAGAAAGAAGACAATTAGGACTGATGGTCGTCTCTAAAGTGGAAAGCAGATCCAAGAACTCTCGATAAAAATGGTGCGCAAGATCATCAGCGGTTGATAGAATTCAGACCATCACTTGATCACTGATTTTTTTCACAGCAATCGATGCGAGTTGGCGCAATATCCTCGTAGTTTCAAGAACAGAAGAGGAATGGTTACAGTGTATGCTTAATTGACTTCGGCAGTTCTGTGGTTCCAGGCGTGTGATGTCAAGTATTTATACCCTCTTTGGCTTGATTCCACGTCTTTGAGTAAAGAATAGGGGGACGTTCTTCGTGGATCCTTGCGTCTAAGACGGGAACTTGGTAGTTTTTCATCCCCGTTCTAAGATTGATCAACTATCCTATACTATTTGGCAGATTGCTTCAATGAAAGAGAGCACTGAATTTGACCTTGACTCCGTTCGCTGGATCCGCCACATTCTTTTTGGAGTTACAAATCGATGGAAGTAGAATTTGCAATTTTCACGCCCAATATGTACATTCAATCATGAAAGATCATAACGTCTTTGAATTTATCGCTCTTTGGTGACAGCAAGTTACATATTGAGGTATCTGAAGTCATTTATTCTCTAGGCTTTTCCTAAAAGAGCTCTACACGCCTGATACTGGTGTAAATACCGTAAACGCCATTGTGATTATGCCAGTAATTGCTCGGCTCACCCTCTTCAACCACCACCAAAAGACGAAGTTCACAACAACAGAATATCGGTATCGGCGAATCCAAACAAGCCACGCGAAGGATCTGATGATCTTGCGATCAAACCCAAAAAATTTCGTTGATAGATTATGAAGTGCCACCACCAAACTGTCGATACACAGAAAACAAGAAGTATTCACTTGAAACACTTCAAAAAATGAATGACGAATTGCACGTACGCAGCAATATACAGATGCAGGAATCTGAATGCGTCATAATTGAAAAGAAAAAACCGGATGAACACACTTTTTGATCACCGTGAGGCCTGGGATAGGAGAGCTTTACGGAACACTCGAAGTGAAGGAGCAGTTTCACCGTCGGTGCATATGTGACACCAGGATTACCAACCGTGGATTGAGTGGTGAGGTGAACCATAAGGGGTTTGGATGACGATGGTCCCGGACATCGGCATCAACGAGACGCTTAGTCATCGACGTCTTTCACGGAGCTGCTGATTTTGAACCAACATATTGATTCCAAGTCAAACAAAGTACAGATAGGTAATAATGGTATGCTCTAGCAAGTAGATAGCTTGAGATAAACAAACAGCTATACGCAAGTAAACTCGATGTTTTCAAACAGATGCCAGCACGGCAGTTGTTCACGCAACTTTTAAAGCTCGTCTATAACCAAATGAGCTTTGCATTTCAAGGCTGTTGTTATTGAAGTGTTACTCATTCGCGAAACCCTGCATTCCGCCGTGACGACTTGTCTCCCAATGTATAGGATTCATAGAAATGATGCATCTTTGGGCAAGGTTCTTCGTGAATCGTAATTAGAATATAATGTACACTGTTGATTCTGCTGTTACTGTGTATCAGGGGATACTATCGAGTATTAGGGTTATAATTTCCAATGTTCGGCCAGTTCAAATCGGATGGTAGCTACTTAGGAGCACCAGAGGACTGTTAGTTTCGAAGTTTTGTCGACTTGGTCATGAGAGGTTTTAATGGCTATTGGAGAAGTAGATTTATATCCAAGTTTTCGTCAAAATTGGATGTATTAGGTACTTCACTGATTCCAACCTTTAGTCAATGTGTGATTCCACAACGGACTATATGACATGGCAACGAGTTCGTCAAGGTCTTTATCCTGCGACATAAGACATGAATGATCGCTTTGAATAGACAAGGCTTATGACAGTATCTAGTTGTTTTTGGTTGGAAAATTTTGGTGTAAACTATCTCACCTATGATTAAAGTGCTATTGTATGTGCTGGCTACTGACTTCCATGTCTCTTCTTAGATGGTAGGCTATTATCTTTGGATCTGCCATTATTTTCTACTTTACCATCTTTTGACTTATCCATAGCCATTGCCCGTTTATTCCCAGCCTCATCCATTGTAGCTGAGCCATGCCTCTTCTTTGGTAGTACACTATCGTCCTTGAATCCCTTATTGATTTCTGCCGTACCATTTCTTGATCTCTCTATAGCCACTGTCTTTTTGTCTCCGACTTCATCTATCGCGGCTGAGCCATGCCGCCTGTTAGGTAGTGCATTATCTTCAATGAGATTACCATCATCTTTTACCTTGCTGCCAGCTCTCGGTTCCTCGACAAGAATTTGTTCCTTTTCAGTCCCATTCGTAGGCGCTCGATGTGTTTTCTTGAGTCTCCCATTGACTTCTGGGTTACCAACTCTCGGCCTGTCGCCGGGAACCAACTTTTGCTTTGCCATCTCATCTCCTAGCTCTTGACGCCCCCCTTTGGATTTCGCAACATCGTTAGGTCTCTCATCAATTTCTTTTCTGCCATTATATTTTAAATTCTCAGCAATGGCCGTCCTTGCCTTCGCGATCTCATTTCCTAGCACTCGACGTCCTTCTTTGGTTCGTTCATCGATTTCCGTCCTAGTATTACCTCTTGGTTTTTCAAAAACAATCTGTTCCCTTCCAACCCCACGTATCGGTGCTTGCTGTGTATTTTTGATTTTCTCATCGACCTTTGTGTCATGGATTCTTGACCTATTTTTACAAGTCATTCTTTCCTTTTCGAGCTCATCTTCTAGCACTGGGCGTTCCTCATGAGCTCTCCCACCAAGCTTTTCTCTACTGCTTCTTCGCGTCTCAGTAGTGATCATCCCTTCAACTTCGAATTTAAATATAGGTCCTTGATGACCGTCTCTTTGCCTATCGTCACTCGTTCTTTTCACTGCATTTATTGAAAGTCTGTGACCCTCTTGATGTTTT